GATGCAGCTTGTCACGCTGGCCACGTGACCCGGAAGTGTCTCCGGACAGCGCTGGCCCCCGGCCTCTTGAGTGAGATGGGCGCACAACCCCAGAGTCTGTCAAGACTGGCCCGTACGGGCAGGGGTACCTTTACCTTTACCTTAAGTAACTTATAAGGCATTGTGTGAAGGCATAGATTTGTATGCCTCTCGTACACTGATGAAATCCAGAGCTAAGCAATTGGGCTGGGGCTTATTGGGTTGACTTACAAAGATGCCAGCCTGCATGACATTAGCTTCTGCCCAGATGATTCCTGATTAGAACAAGCAATGGGCCACTGATTGCTGCACACAGATATCTTGTACATATACGAGTATGCAGAAGCTTTTAAAGTGCATTTAAAAAAGGAAGACTACTCAAACATCTGCAGTGGTAGTTCCAAATAAGAAACTGTCCTTGGCAGACTGTTGCCTTTTATCAGAGCTGCTCTTCAAGGGTAAAATGAGACAAATTGCTTTCAAAAATGGATATTTGCCTAGGGACACTTTGAACAAAGCTATTTTTATTCTGAAGGTAGGCTAATATTCTAGTTGTTCTTTGCTCCCCTGGGTGGGGCTTTTAACCTCAATAGTTTTGAAATGGTAGCAGTAACCATATGATGAATAAATAAATAAATAAAATAAAATCAGATCTGCAGTCTCTGATAAACTAGATATTTTCAGAAGCTGGATATATGGTATCCCCTTTAATCTTTCCATACCTCTGACTAGGAAAGATGGATAGCTACTGCTCTGCTTTTCTTTCTTTACAGATAGAAAGGTGGGGAAGCTTTCCTTTCAGAAATATGTGAAGTACTGTCCTTCATCTTACGGGGCTGAAGATCTTTAACCTTGCAGTTGTTCCGTACCACAAGCCCCTTCTGACCTCTTTTATGCACCCCAAATACTGAACATGTGGTGAAACATGGAGCAAGGCATTGTATGTTGAATGCAATATCTGAGCAGTTTCACATGGGAGGAGGTGGTCATTCAGATGACAAGGTTACAAGCTATTAAGGACTTTATAGAAAATAACCCGCACTATTGAATTGTACTAGGAAATTAAATGGGAGCCAGCACAGATGAAAAAGAACTGCTGCAATGTGTTCTGAATAGCGAGCACCGCCAGAAACCACTCTGTCAGCTGCATTTTACACCTGGTAGAGTTTCTGAACACTTTTCAAGGGTGACTCCCCATAGAACATGTTCCAGGAATGAAATCTGGATGCAACCAGTGCAAGACTGGATCTACATGGTCTAGGAAAGGGCATAACTGGTCCACAAGCCAAGGCTGTGCAAAGACACTCCTGGCCACATCTGGACTTCTAGGAACAAGGCTGGGTCCAGGAACACTCTCAAACAGCCCACCTGATCCTAAGGGGAGTACAGCCCCAGCTGACACACGTCAAATTTCCAAGCCAGGATCAACTCTTCTGTTGACCATTGTCTGGATTAAGCCTCTGCTTATTAGTCCACAATCAAACCATCACTTTAATCAGAACTGTGGAGGTGAAAGAGACCTTGAGGGCCATCCTTTCTAACCCCCGGCATACTGTTTATGCTGCATTACTGTTTGTTGCTTTGTTGTGAGCAGCTTAAAGCACCTCCAGCCCATGGACCTGCCAAGCCACGCCCACCTTCCCCGCACCTGATGTCATTGATGGCATGAGTCCCAGAAAGGTTCAAGCTGCAACAAAGGAAGAACAGGATTCTTCCTTTGCTGCCATGGACTGAAGTTAAAATCACCTGACACATCAGGTGCCTGACAGGTGGATGGCCTTGTCCACCCATCAAAATTGCCCACAGAGGGCTGGCCGCTTGTGGGTCCGTTCCTCTAGCTGGATCCAATTCCCTACCCCTGGCTTGGAGCATATGGAAATACAGTAAGGTGTGATATAAGTTATTGTAATAAATCAGATCAAATCTGAGATTACTTTGTGTTTGAAGGCCAGTCCAGTATCTAGGAGTGCACATCTGGATCCTCTGTTTCTCCTGACTGCATAGTTCACTCTGAGTTGTGTTTTTGTTTTTAAATTAGGTTGGGGAAATCATACTATGCGTTTCAAACCATTTACTGCAGAATAGCTGTAGTGGAGGATATTGCTCTGGAGCAAAATGGAATGAGGCCAGTATGACTCATCCAAAGACTGAAGTCGCATGACTATTGTGTGCAGCAGAGGATCACATTTCTGGTGAACCGGTTGCCAGATTGGTCTGTTGGTGGCAAATAGTGCAGGTCAGCAGAGTTAAGTTCGCTGCCTGACACTTCGTGTTTTGTGCTTGCGACAAAAAGGTTTCAGTTCTACGCTGTCCCATCTTCCTCATAAGTGCCCACTCATTCCCAGACCGAGCCTTATATGTGTATTGTATCAACAGGTGTATTGTAACAACAGGGACATGGGTGGTGCTGTGGTCTAAACCACTGAGCCTCTTGGGCTTACCGGTCAGAAGGTCGGCGCTTCAAATCCCTGCGACAGGGTGAGCTCCCATTGCTTGGTCCAAGCTCCTGCCAACCTAGCAGTTTGAAAGCACGCCAAAAAGTGCAAGTAGATAAATAGGTACCGCTTTGGTGGGAAGGTAAATGGCGTTTCCGTGCGCTGCTCTGGTTTCGGTGTTCCATTGCGCCAGAAGTGGCTTAGTCATGCTGGCCACATGACCCGGAAAAACTGTCAGCGGACAAACACCGGCTCCCTCGGCCAGTAAAGCGAGATGAGCGCCACAACCCGAGTTGTCTGTGACTGGACTTAACTGTCAGGGGTCCTTTACCTTTAACAGCAGGCTGGTCCTGTGCAGGGTTAGGTATGCCCAAACACATCACATTGGCTTGTAATCTAACTCAGTCTTGTCTTGGAACAGTATGCAGGAATCCAATAGCCAAGGTACATAGGAAACTGCCTTACATTGAGTCAAGCCATTGGCCCATCTAACTAGGGGACATTCCCAATCCTACCTGGAGATGCCGGGGAATGGAACCTAGGACCTTCTGCTTGCAGAGCAAATGCTCTACCACTGAGCAGGTGGATTTCCCTCAGTACTTAGCAGATCAGTGCTGTACTCAGATGTTGAACACACACACTCCCCCTTGGTAATAACTGTTTGGAATCTCAGTCTGTTTTACTGATAGCTCCCTGCTGAGAAATGACCCTGCAGGTGGCAAAGCCAGGCTGTGTGAAGGATGTACATTTTGTAGTTTTCCCCATTGGGGTTGTGGAGAAAGTAAGAATCATCACTGGGGAAGAAAATGTGTGCTTTGTACAAGACATTGGGTTTAGGGCTCAAAACCAACCTGATGTAGCAGGTTGTTTGCAGGAGGAGCAGAATTCTAAACTTGAGTCTTGCGCAATTTGTAAGGTGTTAAATGTCACATTTCTTACTAGTAATCTTACCAATAAAACGTTAACTGTAGACTAAGCTTGCATTTGAGATTGAAATTACATGTTACCTTTTAAATATAGCCATTCTGGTCTTCTTTTTCCTTGTAGATCGTCCCTTTCTAAATGAATGTTTATTACTGTAATAGGGATGTTGTTGCACTGAGTTTAATTACCTCCGCCTTTGTTGTCTTCCAAGAGGGAACTTGTAGTTCTATGTGTATGATCACTGCTGCGGGAGAAACTTGTGCCGGGTCCTGTGATGGCTAACAGCTGCACTGCAACTCTGCGAGTGCTTACATGGGAGTAAAAAATAGACAAAACAGACTTCCCCATTAACGTAGCTTCTCTTTCCTTCACTATACCGGTAATTTCCCTTGTTTTGGAGTGCAGAGAGACTGCTTGAGGGGACAGTGGGATCTTGCCACATAGGGCTGGAACTAAGACACAGAATGATGGTCAAGCAGGTGTGATTAGTCATAAGACTGTTCTTGTTATCACAGGCCAATGCTGAAAACAAGATGTATTAACCATATTGAATTACAGGAAGGGCAGACCCTTAACCTCTTCTGATGGACTCAAAACAGCTACCCCTGTTTTTTGTTTTTACTGTTCTGTTTTTGTTTTTAGAAATCTTCTCCCAGCATGACTCAGCTAAAACTGGGAGGAGTCAGGTGGGTGTAGGGCTTATACATTTCAGGAAGCCTGCCCCTTCTCCGTTATTCAAGCCCTGCCTGAACTGCCTTCAGACTCATTTTCCAGTAACTTCAAATGTACATTTGGATTGTTCAGGTATGCATTGCCAAAAGAGGAAATGTATCACTGGAAACAGATGACACAGAACTGCATACAATTTAAATACCGTATTTTAAATGCATAGATGCAAATTTAGAAAATTGCTATAACCGAAACAGAAATGCACGCACGGTAGTGGGGAGCTTGTGTGCCTGCGAGTCTTAGATCATATCAATTTGAATGGGACAGCCCTCTAAGTAGACTCTGGACTTCTACTGCCACCCCCAATAAAGTAGGACACACAGTCCACTTCTCGTCCCCCCCCCCCTTAAGCCCACGAGTAGACGCGATAACCAGAACATCAGGGTCTGCACCAAGACCCGGGCGACCCTCTCCTGGCTGTGTATGGCAACAATATGAGTTCTACAAGCACCCCACATAAGTTGTGAAGTGCAATGGGGGTGGGAGTGGGGAGAAGGCGACGAGACGAGAACAGGCAGCGCTTGCTGGGCAAGAAGAGCAGCCGCCTGAGCGAGGGGACGGGCGGAGGGAGGGGCTTCTGAATGAAAGCCAGGCCGGCCTCTCAAATAATGGCAGCGTCCAAACGAGCCTTCTCCGTGTCCTTCCTCCCGGCTGCAACAAACCCGGCGCTGTTCTGGCTTCTGGAAGCCAGGCGGGGCGGCGGAGGGGAGCTGGCCCTCCCACCCCCCCTCCACCCCGATCCCCCAGCCTGGCCTTTGTTGCTAATCTTTTAATCTGCTCCGGAAAGGGGGAAACCTAGGGAGGGTTGGAAGCAGCAGCTGCAAGCTACTCCCCGCAAATCTCCGGCTTCGGCCAACGGCCTCCTCCCCGCCCCCCTCCCCTGGAGCTTGCGGCGGCGGCTGCAGCGATGTCTCCGTCTCCTCCTCTCTCTCTCACACACACACCCCAACTCAACCCCCCCAGCTCACGTGACCAGCAACCCGGCCAGTTGAGCACCGGGAGGGAGAGAGCGAGCGAGCCCGCGGAAGCGACGCTGCAACAACAATAAAGAGCGGCAAAAAAATAAAATAAAGGGAGGCCGGCGCGCGGACAGGACGCTCGGCGGGCAAAAAGTGGCGCGCGCGGCGGTATCGGCCGCTGCAAGGCGAGCTGCCTGCAGGAGAGAGAGGGAGAGAGGGGGAAAACCCTCAACTCCTCCTTCTTTTTCGTCCGCTCGTCTGTTCCTGGGCGGGTGGGCCGCCCCCTTTCGGGGCTCGACGGCTCCCTCCACACACGCCCCACCAACCAGAGGATGGCGGATCAACGACGGCTCTTGTTGCTGCTTCTTCTGCTGCTGTTGTAAGGGCAGCCCTGGGGAGCAGCAGAGGCTGCCCCAGGAGCAGCAGCAGCGAGAAGGCGGGGAGGAAGCCAGCCGGGGCTTGGCGGGAAGATGGCCAACGAGTCGCTTCAGGTAAAAAGGAAAACAAACCCCCACCCGAGTCCTCGCTTTTCCTGCGCGGGGTGGCGCGCAGCCTGAGGAGGGTTCGGTGGTTAGGATGCTGGGGGGGAAAGGAGAGAGAGCCGCCGGTCTCTGCGCGCCTCGGGAGTGCAGCTGAGGAGGGGCTGCGCGAGCTCCCCCACCTCCTGCTCGCTTCTCTTCCCCCCCATCGCGGTCCAGATGGTGGCGAGAGTCGCAGCTGCTGCCTGTGCTCCCGAGGCCGGATCCCGGCGCTGGTTTGGCTAACCAAAAGCGGGGCGGCGGAGTGGGGACGGACTCGGATGAGCCATGCTTCCTAGATATGGGTCGGATGGGTTTGTACCTCGACAGAGCCGGTTTCTGATTCCTGGTTAGCCACCAGCTTGTAGGGTGGACTTGGGCAAGTCGTCGTATCTCTCTCATCAGTTCTATTTTTTAAAAAAGAAAGTAATAACTTGGGATACTTCATGATCACGTGGTGTTAGCCGCCGACAGTGAAGCTCTTGCGCATGAAGTACTACTAAACATTTAAATAACAATGAATCTTTTCATCTTTTCGGTGTGGATGGGGAAACCAATCCAGGACTTTAATGTGCTCTTCTTCTGCATCCTGTCACTCATCAGTTTAAGTCTCTCAAGATGCCCAATGAGTAAACCACTGGGTTAGATAGGCTTTATTTCTTGGGTGCAGTGTGCGTGTGTATCCCTCTCCATTTATTTAACCTAGCCCCTCTTATGAGCCTGCCTTCAAAATTGGGAACCCTGGCCCCTTCTTGCTGGTGAGCCCAATGTGGTGAAAGAGATTGCCTCCTAGTTGTGAACCTTCAAATAGTCCTTTCTTCCAGGTCATTCTAGAAATCTTGGAATCTTCCAGGTCTTTTCAGAAGTTGTTTAAACTTGGCAGTGAGGTGGCCAAGTTTGCTGGTGGTAGTAAATCATTCAGCGTTGTCATAACAAAAAGAGATTATGAAGAGCTCCGAAATGACCTTTCCAAAACAAAAAGAATAGGCAGTAATATGGCAAATGCAATTCAGTGTAAATAAGTGTAAAGCAATACATGTCAGAACAAAATAAACAAACAAACAAATCCCTAATTTCACATATATGCTCATGTGGTATGTACTGATGGTGACTATTGGGGTCTATTGTGGTTGTATTGTAGTTCTGTGTACTATTGGAGTTGTACTGTATTGTAGTTCTATGTACATGTACATGTCCACCCGACGTGTGGCAGCTATGAAAAAGGCAAATTTCATGTTAGGGATCATTAGGGAAAGGAATGGAAAATAAACCTGCAGGTGTCCCAATGTCATTATAGAAATCTGTGCTTTGGCCACATTTGGAATGCTGTGTACAATTATAGTTGTCTTGCCTCAAAAAAAAGATATTTTAGAGTTGGGGAAATGGTTCAAAAAAGGGGAACCAAAATGATAAAGGGGATGGAATGACTGTCCTATTAGGAAAGGTTGTAGTGTTTGGGACTTATTAGTTTGGAGAAAAGGTCACATGATAGAAGTTTATGCAATTATGCCTATTGTGCAGAAAGTGGTTAGGGAAAAGTTTTTCTCCTTCTCTCCTAACACTAGAACTTATGGCCATCCAGCGGAGCTGAATGTTGGAAGATTCAGGACAGATAACAGAAAATACTTTTTCATGCAGCACATTATTAAACTATGGAATTCTCTCCCATAAGATTTAGCGAAGGCCACCAACTTGGATGGCTTTTAAAAAGGACACAACACCTGCGTTGAAGAGAAGACTATCAGTGGCTGTTTCCTATCATGGGTTGGTTCTGCCTTCACAGTCGGAGGCAATAATGCAGCCTTTCTCAACCTGTGGGTCCACATATGTTGTTGAACTACAACTCCCATCACTCCTAGCTAGCAAGGCCAGAGCTCAGGGATGATGGGAGTTGTAGTCCCAACAACATCTGGGGACCCGCAAGTTGAGAACCGCTGCAATAATGCTTCTGAATACCAGGTGCTGGAAACTCCCGTGGAGTCACAGGGCTCTTATGCTCAGGTCTTGCTTGTGGGTTTCTGACAGGCATATGGTTGGCCACTGTGAGAACAGGATTGTAGACTAGATGGGCCATTGATTCTTCGCCTGTGCTAGCTAGGTTATGTCCAAGAACCTTTACACGTCTCACTCTCCCACATTTTGTGGTTGTTGGCCTTGGTGCCAGCTTCTTTCCCTGTTACCTCACTTGTCTGTTTGGATTTATTGTTTCTGTCTGTGTGCCCATGGGAGCCCTCTTCAGATGAGAGTTTTACAATCATAAAGAAATGCCGAAGTGAGACTTTTAATCAGGGAGGCATGCAGCAGAGCTCTGTGGGAGGAAGCACTTTGCTTAAAGGGAATTCTGCTTGCCAGGCAAGCATCCTTCGGGGCTTTGTGATCCTGTGCTGAATCCATGGAATTGAGCCTGCCAAGGAGTTCCAGGGGACTCTGCCTGTGAGGCTACCTGTTGACTGGTATGTTGAAGGGCTTTCTGGAACTGCAGGCTGGAGACCCTCTTCCCTGGCAGAGATTGTCTGGCATTAGGTTGTTTTGGAAATAAAGGCATTTGCAACCTTTCTCTTTAAAGTAAATTGCAAGATAAGGAGGACTCTGGCCAATATATGATTTTGCTGCTTGTTTGTTTAAATGATCATTGCCAGCTTAAAAGATCAATGCACTAAAACCATTCCTCCTTGCCTGTGCAGCTAACAACTTTTCAATTATTAAAGATACAGTGCTGATAATAAAATCCATTACTGTCAGCCCCCTTACCTTGCACTGTCAACAAAGTCCATTGAGCTAAAAGGGATAAAAAGATCAGATTAAGCTTTTGCCCTGACATTGCATTTTGTATTTTGTTCAGCTTGGATGCTTGAAATGAAGAACAAACAATTATTTTCTTCCCTCTCAGGTAGCACATTTCAATAGGTCACAGGGCAGAGTGAGTTCTTGCAGGTGACAAACGGTAGGGAAACAGCAATAAAAGTGTTGAGTTATAAGATGATTTTCAGTCCCTTAAAATGTTGCACCCGTGCAAAAGGACATGTGAGAATATACTCAGTTGATGGCAAAACTGGATGCATGTAACAGTTGCCGTTTCTTAAAATGAAAAGCAGCTTCAAAGTGCTGTAACTGGGAGTTGGGGAATGGGAGGAGACTAGAAAGGGGAAGGGGCTGCTTAAACCTTTTTAGTCTGTGGGCAAAATAGTCAGCTGTGAAAGTTAAATACCCTCTTTCCCTTTCTGCCCCTCTCCTCTCCACTCCCAGTTGTGGTACCCTTGGATTGCTTTTCACTTTACCATGTCAGGAAAATTGTTCATATGTACATCTAGTTTTGCCCGTAGCCTTTAAATGAGTTAAGGTAGAAGGCATCCCAGATTTCCACTTTACAACATGATGTAATACATGTAATACATGTAATACATGTTCACTTATGACTCTAACTTTTGCAACTAAAAATTATGTATAACATATTTCAGCTAGAAAACCTGACTTCCTTCTATATTGTCTGTGAGCATATTATGCACACTGTGAAGCATTGGGATAAGACATTGCTTAAATTCCGGGTCAAATGTCAGCTCTTCTGCAGATTCAGATCTTAGCTCTTTGGTCTTCCATAATGTACTTGTTCAGTAACAAATCCCAGGCTTAGAGTGAAACATGAAAGTTTAGGGGGATTTAAAGGGTTTTGGGTTTTTTTGGCAAGAGTTTGAAATTGTTTAATTTTATTTACAGAATTCAGTGTTTCAGAAGCTTGAAGACTGGTTGGTAAGATGGCAGGCTGTAGTTTAATAACCAGACTACATTGCTATGCATACATGGGATTAAGGCTGCCGTGCATGTGTACTTTACCTGCCTACCTACATAATTTAATTTGTATACCACCTTTCCACAGTTCAATCCATGATCAAGGTGGCTTACAACATGAAAAAATACATAACTCCGACATAGCAAAAATAATAATAAACAACAAATAAAACATACTTTTTAAAAAAACAACACCACCCCAGAACTAAACTGAACAATTGCCACATATATCACGAGAGGATCTATAATAAAGATACAAAAAACCAGTCACATCAACCCCCAAACAACACCCCAGCCCAACAGTCTGTTCAGCAGCCTCAGCTTTTGTACCTAGGAGTATGGCCCCACTGAACACAGACGGCCTTGTTTCTAAGAAACATGGATAGGATATCACAAGCCGGAAAGCAAAACTGAGAAACAAAATGATAACTGATCTTACTGAAACTGACTGATTTTTCAAGAAGAGAGGTAAAAATCAAAAAGCAGAAAGTAGCTGGGAGCCTTTAAAAGCTATTTCAGGATTTTGAGCCTGCAAGTGCTTATGCACTCTCTTATTTTGCCCATTTGAGGAAGTTCTGCTGACTGAGGCCATCATGTGAGTTGAAGTGAGGGACATGGCTAAATACACATGGGACTTCTAAGATATCGGGCTTGAACTAGTGCTATATATGTTAGAGGCAGGGTCAGGGTGGTGGAGGAGATAAAAAGTACGAGTTGATTTAATAAGACGAGAATCTGAACTGTGCTGACTATCCTTGAAACTCCCCCAAATCCTATCAGAACTGGTTGAGGAGATTAGTTACAGAAACAAACTGGGAATCTTTGATGCAATCTTGTTTCCATGTTCCCTTTTTAAAAAGTTAGTGTGACACTAATTGTTTGGATTGCAATGTAAATTTTAAGCTTGATGTAGAGCCCTTGGGAGCCTGGGAAAGGGTGAATTATCTGTTCATTTTTCACTCTGTTGTGAGAGCAGGGGGTGGGGAGGGACTGCAATCCTAATCTAATAGGGTCTGGGGAGTGTCATAATGCTTGGCATTTATACAGTACTTTAAAAGTGTTCAAAGTGATTCACATGCTTTGTCAATAATCCTTAGCTTGCAGCAGGGGCTGGGGGAATTTATGACCCAGTGCAGAACAGCCTATCTGCTGAATTCATGGCTAAGGAAAGGTTGGAACAGGAGCAG